TCATAAAACCCACTAAAACATGTTATTTTTATGCATAAATAGCCCATTTATGTCTTATATTTAGTGATACTGATGTTTATTTATGATTTATTGGAGTATTTATAGCATTTCCACGTGTTTCCATGCGTAGCTTAATTTTTCGTCCGTATCCATGCGTATCCAAGGTATATCCCGATACATCTCTTAAATTTGCCTTTACGGTACGCATAGCGTTTCCGATACTTTGAACCTTGGGTGGGGGTGATGAAAGAGAGGGAGGATGAATACAAGGTGATTGTTGGCTGCTTTCTCCTCGGTCCATCACATTGTTCAAAGGTGGCAGCTGCATATCTGCAAGCAAACGAGAGGAAAGGATTGAAGAAGGCAAAGCTTGAGATGCAATTCCAACAGAAAACAGGGTGAGATTGTCGAGTTGTGATGAACCTAAAACAGGATTTTCATTCAAGACTGAGTTCAGTACTAGGCTGTTGTTCATGGAACTGATGGAAGAGTTTGCCATCAACAAAGCTGCCGTCTGGAGGAGGCATTGAAAATACTGAAGCTTACCCAACTCATAAGCTTCTGGTGGAGTAGTAGCCCGATGTAACAGATGGGGTTGGTCCATGAAGAAGTTAGTTTGAGGTTGGTGGGTGATCGGATTGATACCCATCTTCATCAGCTTCTTTAGGCGGGTGTTCCAGAAATTTTTAATTTCATTATCAGTTTGTCTAGGGAGCTGCTTCACGATTTTCGACCACCTAGTAAACAAAACCAAATTGAGAATTTGAGATATTAGTATGCATAAACAATCGGGCAGATCAAAAACCAGAATTTGCAGAGACTAACGAAATTAATTACTTGTTGCCAAGAATTGAATGAAGTGTGAGAATATCCCGCTGCTGGTGATAGTTGTTTATCGCTGGCGGTGATGGTTGTTAAGTTGCCGCCAGGCAGATGGGGGGAGAGAGAGGGAAGAGAGATGTCTCTACGACACTCAAGGGAGAGGAGAGGAGCAAAACGACTCATTTTGCTTAACTTCACTAACGACGAGTTTCACAAACGGGGTGAAACATCCTCGCATGCTACAGCCCTTCACACCAAATACGCGAACGGTGCCCTGACTAAGGGTGCCTGGACTGAAGCCGAACTCAACCGGGAAGGATGAATTAAGATAGTCATGCATTTTGGCTTATGAAATTCGGCAACTTCCACCTTTCTGATTTCAATACAAAATGGTCTTTACTTTCTTTCAAATGAATGATAGAAGATCCATCTCAGCTCAACTCAACTCAACTCAACTCAGTCTTTATTCTAAGACCATTGTGCTCTATCAACAGAGATGTTCTGTCATAGAAAATACATTGTTATACATTATCAGTGATAGAACTACTGAATTAAAAATGGCATCACCCTAGCAGTTCAGAACATTGTAAATTTAGCTATCAAACAAATCAGTCATTAATTGAGCATTAATGTTGAATTAGATGTGGTTAATTAGATTTTCAAACCAAACTACACATGTGGGGCCAGTGCATTGAGCATCCATCAAACCAAGCTGTGGATCTGGTAACTATTGTCACAAAAGGATTGGGGGGGGGGAGGAGATGATGTTAATTTCCTAAACCAGGCTACGCTACCATCTCTTATATCTTGTTCCATTACATCGTCTGACTTCAACTCTATGGCACGATGCTCTCAACAGATGCATCACCTACCTGCTAAAAGGAAACAAAGGAAACTTGCCCACCTGAGGTTTTTTTTTTGGGTCAATGCATTCACCAAATGGACAATAAACTAGGGTTCTGCTGTTTTGCCCTTGGTTTCCATCTGTCATTGAAATGGTTGAATTGGTGCAATCGGAGTTTCAGTAGCACTCCCTTCTCATTAAATGAATGATGGACATCATCAATTGATCTGCTGAAAGCCTGAAACCAACAAGCATGCAAACATGCTGAGAGCACGCATCCAGCCGTACATTGAGATCTCCCCATGAATTTAACGTACACATTATATGTACATGTTTAGTTGCTTATTAGTGCATGCCATAGTATTGTAAGTAGCAGTGGTCATTGCAACATATCCCCCCTCCAGGGCTCCCTACCACTTTTCACTTGATCCTTTTCTTTCTCATACCAACCCAATTGCATTCTATTTCAGCTCACCAATCAAAACATGAAAAGGATTAGGCATATGCATGTGTTGCAACTCGTAATCTTCAATGATGCAACTTTTTACTGGCTTCTTTCTGTTATACACAATTATGTAGATGCATCATCATTACAAATATGATTGAGGCTAATGATTCTCTTGAAACTTCACTGTTGTTTGGATTTCAGCTGTCTCCCAAGTAGTAAAAGTCCTACTGAGGCAAAAACAGACAAGAATGTTGATGAGTAGCCAAGTGCCAGTAGCGCTCCCCTCAGTGACTGCATATAATGCCATATTGTTTTATGCATCAACATTGATGTACAAGGCAATATGAAAGAGATAAAAAGTGGTGAAAAAGAAACAAGCACCTTGGCCAGCAGCAATGCATTATCATTTGCATATTGTAGTGAGCTTTCTGGGATGTTTTGGATGCCTTGGGTTAGTCCCCATGAGAGAATCCTAAGATTAAAAGTTTGGAGGCAATTAACACAATCTGGCTATTACCACAAATCCATATTCCTCTGAGAAGTACACATAGAAGATTTATAATACAAAAGAGGATGGTTACCCAAAAACAAAACCAATTGCTGCTCCAATGTTGGCTTTATCTGAAGTTATCTCAACCTGTAATTCTCCAAACTGCAATTGGTTGGAATAAAACATTATGTCAGCTTGAACTTTGAGGGCAACATGCAATAAAGGATTTAAGATTCATTTCCAAGCTTACTTTCAAAGTTCGACTTTCTTTTTTGGGTTCTTCATTGGTAACTGTCGTTACTGGGCTTGCTAACAATAGCTTTCCAGCCTTGATCATTGATTTAGCAATCTGCAGTGTTTCCAAACGAGCCAAATCATTGCTTATAACTAAGTTGAAGGGGAATGATGATATTTTAACACTATATCTGGTCCCTTGGAATCCAAAATGCCATTGGTTTTACCTGATTTAAGTTGCATCATGCTCTTTGTTTGCTTCCAGTTACCATTCCCTTCCCCCAAGAGATGCCCTCTTTTGTTTTAATGCATTTTATTTTACTATTAAAGAACATATTGTACATATTAAGCAGGTAATTCTCCTGAAGCAAATGAAGAAGAACCTTTTACAGCAAAAAGTCAGGTAATTCCTTTGGCTGCTTGGATTCCAAACACAGAGAAAATCCAAACACATCCTACTAATTTAACTATTTAAGACAGTCCATAGTCATGAAGAACACAATTACTGTCTTTGAAGGGATTTCCAACCTAAGCAATCTACATGGCCTTTAATTACAATTGTTTTTCATATGTACCTTGAAGATAGGTATCAAATAAGTTTAATTACATTAGGTGATAAGGGAAAGTTGGAAGGGACAGGCATAAATAATAAGTAGGTCATTTTGCATTGTATAGCAGAATGATGACATCCAAATTGCCACAATCATAACATTCACCAGAAGTGGACTTCCCCAAGGACCAAGAGGGTAAGAAACTTTCCACAATTCTAGTTATTACCAATGTTTTAAAAACCGACTGGAGGCCAAACCATTTTTGCCTCTAGGTCACGGGTCAACTGTCTGGGTTGAATGGGTCAGACTGTGACACATCAGCACATATGTAATAATATATATATATATATATATATGTATTTTATCAATAAATAATTTATAATTATATCTTACATGTAATATAAGTATTGTTTTATGTTTACTTCATATTTTTTATTCCAGTTTTTAATTTTTGATTTGTAAAAAAATGTTAAAAATTGGGATTTGAGGAAAAAAAGGTTTTTTGGTGAAAAATAGCAGCACAAGGTGTCTTGGGATGCATAATCTTGAACAGTTACCCCAAATCAATAGAAAGATCACCCCAGTCAAACAACCAAGCACAAAGTTATGGCCTCCGGAAATTTTAGTGTGTAACTCATGACCCGTGACTGGATTGAATGAGTCAACAGTTCAACCGTCCGGGTCTGATGGTTTTTGACCAAGTCAATGGTTTGTGGTCAAAAGTCAGGTTTGAGGAAAACCAGACCTGGAATCAGGACCAGGTGACAGTTCAAACTATTTCACCGTCTGGGTCAATGACGGGTTGAAAACACTGGTTACTAACTACAGCTTATTTCTGGAGTAGCTTCTCTGAAGGTTAGGTCATGGTCATCTACTTGTGTAAATCTGATAGTATGTATACATGTATTCTCTATGCATATCAATGTACTAAATGACAACAAGTAACATGTTTTAACTCGACAGGAGTTGTATTGGTGAAAGAAGCTTTACTGTCAACTCCATTGCAGCTAAACCAATCCTAGACATGAGATCCAAATCAAATAATAAATTGTACCAAGACCAAGAAATTAGGAAAAAAGTAAAAGGGTTTTCCAATGGGAAATGTGACAGGTTCTCAAACACTTCAGATTGCTATTCTTGGATACCAAAATATCATATGGTTAGTAAGCAGATGTATAATAAAAATAAATAGAAAAACTCAAAACAGAGCCCCTCTTATTCCTGGCATTGTATTTGATCAAATAAAAAATGAACAGGATGTTGCTGAATGACACTAAGTGGTGGTTTAGTTTGTGACTACTTACTAGTATTATTATGCTTCCTATTATCAGCACTAGTATTCTTGTAGTTCATTCGTTGAAGCAGCCATTGATAGCCAATTTATCTGCATCTCTTATTAGCAGCAACAAAATGGATCCCGATTGTTTTTTCTTTACAAAAATATAATTGTTTTTTGATAGGTAACTGTTCAACTTTTATTAGTTTCAGTAAAAATAATATTATGTACAATATGCCTAACATTTCATAACATATGCTCTATACATTAGATTGAAGCCCAGAAAAGCTGTGCCCTATAGACCCCTTGTTTAGCTAAGGTCTCGGCTAAACTGTTTTACTGTTCTTGATGCCAAATTGTTTATATTCTTGCTCAAAACGAATGAATAAAATACTCTTTTTTGCTCTAGTGAGATACTTGGAGACAAATCAATTGGCTAATTTATTACTTGAGTAAGAAGGTACAAGAAGAAAAATATGTATTGCATGGTAGTAACACAAGAAGCAGATACTTTTGTTTCCCAAATGCTTCATGTAATAGTTTTCCTTCTCATAGCAGTGCAGGAGAAAAAAGTTCCATATATGGATCTTTAACAATATTCAATTATACAATCTCCCTATGATATGACTAAAGTATACTTTGTGCACTAAAAATTAAAGAAAGAGAAAAAATATCACTTTGAACTATCAACAGATTAGTTTCAATGTTTCATAACATTTTTTATTCTATTTATCCCATACAAGTTAATTACCCAAAGTACAAAAGTTGATCTCTTTACAAATCAACAGCAAATAAATAAGAAAAGCATCATCAGTTTTTATGGATAATTGCAAATGTAAGTTGATTAAATCAAGAAGAACATTATTCATAGGACAGACGCAATTTCTTTTTGATATTACCCTTTGTAACTCCCCTTGACCATACAGTCCCATGGATTCAAATCTCCTTCCAGCAGATACCAAGCGTTTTCCAAATGCTGCACCGGATGAACAAAATAACATTGCTGTCCAAAAGATATACCAAGAAAATAAGGATAAAACTCATAAGCATCTGCTCTAATTTTACCTGATTTGGCATTGTTTGTTAAAGAACCCTCCAATGAGGGAAGCTTGCTTGCTAAACTACAGGAAGTTGATGTATCAGCTAGTTCCCATGCTCGTGATAGGTTCAACAGTGTTTCTCCTAGCTCTTGACCACACTGAAAATGATAATATAAGCATAAGTTGTTTGAAGGTTTCAGGTATCATAACTCACCAAGTAATGCCTACACATGTAAGAAAAATATTTAAATGAATTGTGAGATATTCAATTAGGTTCAGATGTTAAGCAGTTGGATTACAGATCACCTAATAGTTTTCATTTGGACCAAATAGCAAAAAACTATGAGATAAAAGTCAATAAAACCACATTAAGGTTTGCATGCAAATTACCAAACCCTTAGGGCTCAGTTTGGAAAAAGTACAAATACATATAAATAATACAAAATACAGGGTTTTGCACTCTATATATTTGTATTTGTGCTCCTTCCAAACTGAGCCTGGTGGAAACTGGACATTTATTGACAAAGATCATAATGGAAATAATTTCTTAACAGTGGTCATGGGCACTGTAGCTTGGATTCCTTGGGGGGAATATATCACAATGATGGGCAGATGATACCAAGTTCACAAATATCTACGATGAGCTCCTTATCTCTTCTAATGGATTTGGTAGTATCTGCTTCCTACATTCTTTTTTTTTTTCACCTGAATGAACACACAAAGTGTGAGAAGTAGCAACTTACCAAGGCCCAAACAAGCAAGTTTTCAAGCTAACTAGATCCTTTTGGACCCAAAGTCATRGTAGATGTTTAGTTCATCAAACCATGAATATGCTGAACATGAAGAAGGTTCTACAACTACTGCATTTGGTCATAATATCATGATTAGCATAAGCAATCCCATTTCGTTAAATATGGAAATGACTCAATCGCATAGTCAGGATCAGGCTTGCAGTATTTGTCATGGACAGGACCTGGCACCTAGGCAATGTATCTGTTTCAACCCCTATAACAGGCTACAGCGAAGAACCTATATAAGAGGCTCAGTCTGGGAAGAGTACAAATACAAGACTTAGAAACATTGTATACAAGGTTTTGCACAGTACATATCTGTATTTTCACTCTTCCCAAACTATACTGTATTTGTAAACCTTGTATTTGCACTCTTCCCAAACGGAGCCTAAAGAAAATTTTTGAATGCYAACTGTAACATTAATTGATTGATGTATAAAAGTATCACTAACCTCATCGATGACCGGCCCGTTAGCAAGATCAAAAGCGGCGTCATTCAGCTTTGATGAATCCCGACAACATTGCCAAAACTCTTTCAATCACAGCTAAAAATTTAACCAACTTATAATTTTATTATTAGGAAAGGGACATATCGTGAAGCGCTTACATACATCGAGACGAAGATCGCGRGGGAGCTGTGCCAAGTAATCAGGAGGAAGAGCAAAACTATCCTGCAGGCAACAACAGTTACTACTTACTAACTGAATCGAAAGTTTGAGGCCATAGCCCAAGGCAATCAATGTTAATTAAGACAAGGAGTCTGATAAGTACTGCAAGATCTTGGAGGAGGGATTGGGTCTCAATTGATTTGGGGGAATCTGATTCTGTGAGTGCAAACGAAACGGTCAAGCATCTCTTTTGGCGGGAAACCTTCTGGCAAGGTTTGAGAGGGAAATGCAGGGAGGGGATTTGATGGGGATTTCTCTGAAATAAGAGCGTTGGACTGGAATGGAGATTGGAGAGAAGATGCAAGCGAAGAGAAGCCATTGTCACTTGTCAGAGCTCAATGCCACTGAAAGCTAGATTTTCAGAAATTGCTTTGCTTCCAAGTTCCAGGAGGAAAAGGAAAATCCACCACAGCCAGAGATATTTATTATTTTTATTTGTATTTATTTATTTTGTATATCTGGACCAGGATGGTTTACCCAAGTTGGTCTAAAAGCTTTGGACCGGCATAGAATTAGAGCAACAAATAGTCATACAGAGGACGTAACTGCCGCCAAACTGTGCTCCATTCTTCACTCTCACAGAGATGGCCGCCACAGCTGCTGCTTCTCGTTCTCAATCATCAAAGAAGAAACCTAAGAAGAAAACAGCAAAGAACCCAGAAGTAGAGCGTCTGAGTGCATTGCCATGGAACGAATCTCTTCCCGTGGAGGATCCTTTTGCTATTTTCGGCGGAACCAACAACCTCGAAGGAGGTCCATGCTTGTCAATTTCATTTAGTCTCTGTATCTGTAGAAATTAGGGTTTTTGTTTTCTGGGTTTCATGTTTTTCATCTTGTCATTTTTGGAATGGATTAATGCAGGTTTTCTTTCGCTTGAAGAGATTGACGAATCCGAGTACGGTTTTGTGATTCCTGAACCTGGAAAAGATGAAAAAGAAGCGGCAGAAGAACCTTTTAGTTCTTCCAAATCAAGGAATCGGAAGAGAAAGGCAGCGGATGGTGTTTCTGGTGATGATTCTGAAGATTATAGTGAGGAGAATGCCGAGGATGAGGGGAAAGCAAAGAAGAAAACTAAGAAGAAGAAGAGGAAAGCGAAGAAGAAGAAAACAGAGAACAAGAAGGACGGGGAACAGCTTTCCGGTTTGTTAGTTTTATTTATTTGGTTTATCATGTTTAGATGGTTCTTCATACTGAAAACTTGTGCATTGGATTTTGTATTAAAAATTCGTTGCAATTGGTGCCAATATGGTAAAATTTTTCTTCTATTCCAGCAGAAGAACCAGGCAATAATGCCAGTGAAGATGTTCAAGGAGATTCAGTTGTTGATGATGCTGAATTTTATGTGTGGAATGAGTTGAGGCTCCATCCTTTGATCATGAAATCGATATACAGGCTTGGATTCAAGGAGCCCACTCCCATACAGAAGGCTTGTATTCCTCTTGCTGCTCACCAAGGAAAGGTTGGTTTCCATTAATTGTATTGAGTAGCTAAGACTTCCAATCCGTTGTTAATTCATACAAATTATTTTGTTAGGATGTCATTGGTGCTTCAGAGACGGGATCTGGGAAGACGCTTGCCTTCGGGCTGCCCATTTTGCAACGTCTTCTTGAAGAAAGGGWAAAAGCTGCTAAAAAGCTTTCTGAGAATGGAAATGCAGTAGAGAAAGGTGCTCAGGGAAGTCCTCTTCGGGCTCTCATTGTGACTCCTACAAGGGAGCTTGCTTTGCAGGTATTTGTAATGGTCTATTACTTGTTTTCATTATTCAAGTGAAAGAGCATGAATACATTTGACACTACATTGCAATTTGCACCCTACCTGGCGGGTAGCCATCCCTACCAGCCCTGACAGGCTTTTTTTTTGGAAAATGGATTTTGGGTTGGGGACAGGTTTTAGGATTTTASAACCATGTACAGGTACGGGTAGGGTATGGTTTTAGACTAAACCCAAGCCTCCTCTACCCCTATTGGTTTCTGTCTCAGGTTTTATGCCTTATGAACTGAACTTAACATTATGCATAGAGGTACAATTGAATCGAACTCTAATGAACTGTTTGGGCTTGGGCTTGATTAGTCTTGATTTGAACTTGTATTCAACCAATAAAATGCCTGGCTCGAATACTTGTGAGCCCGGTTATATATATACATACACATATATATATATATATATTGTACAGTTATGAAATATAAAATATATTAGTTTGTTGACCTTTCGAGCTGACATCAATGTTATCAAATATTTAGTTGAACTGAGCCAAGACATGCTGAAGTTTGGCTTGATTTGGGGCAGTTGCACCCCTAGTGTTGGATGTTGATTTTGCTGTTGTAAGGCATATGGACTTATGTATTCTAATTAGATATGGATTCTGAACCTGACCTGCCCCACCCTCAAATGTGGGGAGGGTAGGGTTTTGAATTTGCATGTGTGGGGAGGGTTTGGATTCTGAAAATCCAACCTACTTTAGGTTTTGGAAGGATAGGGATTGGGGAGGCGGAGAGGATCTAGAATTTATAAAACCCTCCCCATTGCCATCCCTATTGACAACATCCATAAGAAGAAGATCTGTTGCAAGTTGAAGGGGCTAGAAGGGGTACAGATGGACCAAAAAGGACATGGGTAGTATTAGAAATGATTTACACACTAGTAATTTAACAATGGATATAGCATTGAACAGAATGGTGTGGTGAAACAGGATACATGTAGCCAGCCCCATATATGCCATGTACTATGCTTTTTTTTGATCAATAACACCAGCTTCATTAAATTAAGAGAAAAGAGGGAATATGGATACAAGAGGGGAGATAAAATATCTTAGCTCCCCAATAACAGAATACATGCCGTGTACTATGCTTCAAATTCCCTTTTGGTTCTTTCTTTTTCTTACTTTGAATTTTGTTTTCCTAAAATTATTCCATCTCCTTTCTCTTCTACCTCTCTCTTCTCTCTCTTTTCCCTCTTCATACATGTTTGTAAGTCTGGTTTCACTTCCTAAAACAAGCTTGCAACCTCACAAACTCAAGGGATTGGTCTGGTGCCTTTGTGACTCTGTTTCCTGCTAGTAGAATTAGATTGCCTTGCCTATACAACCCTTCTCTTTTTTATTGATTCTACTCTTTCTGCTGTTTTTGCTTGCTACATAGAGGTAGTTGGTTGCTCAGTCTGATTTTGGTATTGTTACGGTGTCCAAATGGTGCCCATTATCAAATTCAAACTTTTTTATATGGAAGATGGTGCAGTGTATGGATTATTGGGTTGCCATTTCATCTCTAGAAGAAAGAGGTGTTTGAATCAGTTGTTTCTGTCTATGGTGGAAAGCTGGAGGAATTTTCCAATTTGATTTGCTCCACTGCTCTGATGTTAAATGGAGTAAGGCCAGGTGACATTCTGAGGAAGGTTGAGGTGCTTGCAGGTGGTTTGCTCTATTCTTTATGGCTGATGTCCTCCATTTAGTCTTCTTTGTGGAAGGAAGCTCGTAGAGAAGAAGATGAAAAGATTGAAGAAGAAATTCTATGTGGCAATATGAGGTTGGGTGGTTCAAATGTTGGTAGAATTTTCTCAATTTGTTTTTTGTCAGAAACACAGAAACGAATTCTCTTAAATTTGGGTAAAAAAAATTTGGAAACATTAAAAGAGGGGAGACAAGAGGAAGTATTTTGATGCCTAGAAAAAGGAGTTGGGCTGATGTGTGGCAGGACCACAGGACTTCTGCTTAGGCATTAACAAATGGTGCAATTAATCATTTGGATATTGGTTTTAATGTGCATGAAGAGGGAAAACCGAGCATTCAAGAAGATGAATTGGGTGCAAACTGACCAGATTCATCTGAACTGGCATTTCAAGTTTTGGTGTGAGGTAACTCAAGTGGTCACATGGGGGAGGCTAAGGTGATGGTGTATGGACAAATAATGTACTGACAATCAAGCCCATGGAATATGGGGTGCTTGACCCCACTAATAAAATTGTTAGTGGTGCTGGGCCAAGGTGTTTTAGGCCCAATTTTGTTGAGTCACATGACTCCTTTATGGAGCACGTGATGTCAAATGAAGTAGGACAACTAATAGACCTAAATGTGGGTCTATCTTTGTCTTTTTCGAAGATGGAGGCAAATGCATCAGGGGAGGTGGTGGATAACAGTCGAGTAAACGAGGTGTTTGAATACCCGTAGGGCATTGCAGACAGTTTTCTGTGGACTGTGGAGAGGAACAAAATTTATTTATAATGATAAAGATAGGCCTCCATTTGTGAGGCATAAGGACGTTGGGTATGATGTGGATGAGAGTGTTTCAGATGGGTGTCAAGGAAGTGGTGGAAATAAGGTTGGTAGCGAAGCAGTGAAAGTTTTGGATGAGATATAGGTTTCTATTGAAGGTAATGATTTGCAACAGGTTGCTGATGGAAACAGGAAAGGAAATGGGTCAGCATCAACATATGGAAGGGAAGAGCATGTAAAAAGATTGGAAGGAGTGGTAGGGGGAGAGATTGAGGGTGTTTTGGCAMAGAAGGAGGTTCAAAGGGCAATTAAAGGGATGAAGAAAGAGAAGAGGAGGAGGAGGAAGGTTTTGAGACCGAAATTGTTGAGAAAGGGGCTGATGGGGATAAGATGGGTGAGGAGGTTGGGCAATAGGTTTTGATGGAGGGTGTTGAGAATGATCACTTGGGGGAGGTCCAATGATTTAAAATGTGCACAGGCAAGCGCATTTTAAGGTATGCGCCTTGCCTAGGCCTCCCCAGGTGCAACACTTTCAAAAGGTTTGTGCTTAGTGTGCCTTGTGCTTCACCCTAGGTGTGCGACATTTCGTATTTTGTGCATTTTACTCTTTTTTAAGCCTAGCGGTTGGAATGGGTACAAGCCTCTTGAGGCAAGCCTAAACAAGTCCATGTTAAGGCCTTAAAATTCTTGATTCCTATAAAAGTGATTTTATTATTTTAATTATATTTTTAAAATCTATTTTAGGAAGAATGGATGAACAATATTAGCAAATAGGGGTGCTCAGAGCTCTGGTGATAAGAATTTAAGACCCTAACATGGGCTTGTTTGGGCTTGCCTCAAGGGGCTTAGTACAAAGGTGACTCATAGACTTAAGAATGAAAGATGTTTAACATCATACTGGTTATTTGTATTAGAGTTCAGCTTGCCTGTTAGACTGATAACAGTCAAGGAAAAGAGAGGAGAGAAAGAGAGAAAGAGAGAAAGGAGAAGAGTAGAAGAGAGGATGAGGAGGAAAAGGTTTTGCTCGAATGAGAGAAAAATCAACCCTCCCATTCGGCCAATCTGTTTTATATTACTAAAATATTGTGGAAAAGTCACACGTGTCCCTACTTAAGTTAGGGACTGTTGGAAAATGTGGGGTTACTAGTTCAGATCTGAAAATAGAATTGTATATATTCCTAGGATTGTGGAAAGATTGATTTAGAAAGTTTTTTCTTTCTATTTCTTTCTTTCTATTTTTGTACTTTCTATTTTCTCTTCTTTCTATTTTTTCTTCTTTCTATTTTCTTTTCTTTCTATTTTTCTTTCTTTCTATTTATTGCA